TAACTATTCGTAATGTTTCTGAGGTTAGATAGATAGGGCGAAATAAGTAGGCTAGGATAAATAAAGTGAGCAGAGCAGAAAATCCTAGAGAAATCCAAAATATAAGATAACTCCATAGATAGCACTATATGTCATTATATGTGACCATATAGCTGGATGACATTATGTGACAATTCGACGAATTAATTTACCAGGGCAAAAGGTGGAATTGATGACTGAAGCCTTGTTTATCGAATCAAACTGAAAATATATGTAATGAGAATAATTCAACAACTGTCCTGAACATCTGGAATGAATTCCGCTAACCTCACAACAAATGGAAATGAGGGACGAGAATTATGAAAACCAACTTTTCAAACTGTATAAATACGCTTGATATAAATGTATGTGTAAAACTTGGGCACTGTGGTAGTAAGTAATTCCATATTATATTATAATTATATTATAAGGAGAACGGGTATCCAAAAGGATTTATCCAAAAGTACAGCAAAGAAAGAGAAGCATCCAACAGTTGAAAAGAAGAAAGTATTCATTTGCCTCCCATACAAAGGAGAAACAGTATCGCGAAAGATTGAAAAAAGGATGAAAGGGGCAATCAAGAGATGCTTCCCTGCAGCCAATCTAGTGACACTATACAGTACTACTTGCTCTATAAGCCAATCGAAACTGGATAAATACCCTGCTGATGTTACCTCCAACTACATTTATAAATTTACGTGCACCTGCGGCAGCAAGTACATCGGAAGGACAGAAAGAAGGGCTTCTATCCGGTTTTCAGAGCATATTCCGAGAAACTTATGCTTAAAAGGAAGCAAATATTTACAAAGTGCAATTACCAGACACCTTGTGGATACAGGCCATTTTGTTGAGATTTCCAAATCCTTCAAAATATTAAACATACAAAGGACAGCGAATCTACTACGATTTGCTGAAGCAATTGCAATCAAACGCTTCAGACCAAACTTATGCACACAGAAAGAGAGTGTAGTCAATCTCTCACCCCCTTGGTAACCATATCACTTTCATTACACTGATTACTCATAGACACTAGTGAGTTCAACTCACCTAGCAAGTTTTCAAATTGATGAACTTTGACCTTGTTGAGTTGCCATGTTGACACTGTTTATTAGATTTTTCTGTTTTCTGTCTTCTCTCCCCCCCCTTTTTCCTTCTTTTTGCCATAGATTGATAGTATATAAATTGGTGGTAACTTAAGCTACAAAAATTGTAATCCTTATATTCCGGATGCGTTTATCTTATAATGCTTTCTGTATTACTTTTCAAACAATGAAGTATGAAATGTTATTAATTATGACCATTGTAATTTCAGGTAGTTTGCGGCTGATGAGAACCTGTGAAATAGAATGATATCATTTTATACTGCAAATCTGGTCTTTCTTTCTCTATCGAAATTCCATATTAGTTTGTTTATTAGATATATCACACGGTGAAACAGTATTATTTACCGGATAACAGTGTTTAGAACCCGATTTATTGCTCATTATCATATCAATTATAATCACACGACTTCGAAACTTGAGTTTTATAGTTTTCTTTGTTCTCTCTTATTTGTCGTAGGGGTAGTAGAATTTTCCAGGTATCCGACTGGATGTGTGTTGAATCATTCCTATTACATGTATCTTCAGTTGACCCGATAAACAAAGCTTCTTTAGTTATCAGTCTCTCCCTCCACCCTCTTACACTAGATTTTAAAACTGTCATCTCATCCTTTCATACTATTTTATGGTTATATATATCCAAACCAAGTTCCTGTAGTGCTGTAGCTGAAGTATTCTCTAAATTTCTTATCTTATTCGGGTCAACTAATCTAGTATTTACTAAGATTTTATTCTCCGTTATTCTGATTGACTGATAAACTCAATTAGAAGTAAGCTTTGCTGTGGAGCCAATTAAACAAAACAATTTAGTTTATCTAATACCCTGCCGGAATGACTGCCAGGTCAAATACATGGGTCAAAGTAGTAGAACGGGGTTAGTCAGAATAGCCGAACATAAAAACCTAGCAAAATCTAGATTAGTTGACCATAATAAGATAATATGAAATCTGGAGAATAGTTCAGCCGTAGATAGCACTACCGGCAATTACAAACACCATACAATAGGATGATGGGATAAGATGACAGTTCTAAAATCTAATGCAACAGGGCGGAAGAAGAGATTGACAACTAAAGAAGCTTTATTTATTGAGTCAACTGAAGATACGTGTAGTAGGAATGATTCAGCACCTGTCTAGCTGGAAATCTGGAGAATCCTACCACATCTACTACAAATAAGAAGGAATAATGAAGACCATAAAATTGAAGTTTCGAAGTTGTGTGATTATAATTGATATGGTTATGAACAATAAATTGTGTTCTAAACACTGTCATCCAGTAAATAATACTGTTTCACTGTGTTTTATGAAATAAACTTGTGTAATATGCAATGCACCACTATCAATAATAATAATAGTAATAAAACTTTACTTCGCAGAGAAAGGTTACATAATAAGCAAAATTTTCAGCGTAGCTTATTGCATAATATTTTCTCTTCGTCCGGCATTTTCACGTAAAGCAGCCATCTCCAGTACATACAGCTTACCCGAATAGTATTTAATCAATTGGTAATTAGGATCTGTGCCTACAGTATATGCTCTACACGCGAATCTCAGAATATTGCTGCAGGATTTCCAATGTGAATTGTTAGAAGTATCCGATGTCTTCAGTTATACAGGTGGTTGTAAATACCGTAGGTGTTATGACGGAAGAAATTTCTAATCGTATATGGAAAGTCAAGGTGGCATATGCCAACCTTAGGTACTTCTGCTTCAGCCACGATGTTACAGTTGCCTTTAGATTTTCATGCGTACAATTTTCCTCTGAGTCTGTGAAACCCAACCACTCTGAGCTGAGGATTTATAAAGACTCTAGTGTTAGGCCGCTGCTGTCTCCTTAGAACTGCTCACATCTTATGGCATCAATGTGTACGCAATTCTGAGGTCTATGGTGCATGTATCAACATGGTGAAGACCGTCTTCCGATAAGTAATGTAATCATAGGACACTAGCCTTATGGTTTGGAAAAGTACTACAAATGTCGACCCAGAAGCTTCTATAATGTTTACTTTTAGCTAGCCCAGAAACTGAATGGAAGTGCCAAGAAGTTGTCGGTTTGTGGTGAGAAGTATTGAGTTGGAGGATGTTTGTATCATTTTGACATCTGTTGGAGTTCCACGATTCCTAAGCTGAGGTTAGACAGACTGTACAACTTAGTGGCTTCAGACGTTTATCTGATATGTCTGAGAATTGGAATAAATGGAGGATATGCTGTAGCTACCTACTTTCTTTTCTTTCTGAAAGGAATAAGAAGTAATGAAGGCTCTTGTGAATGGTCTCAATATGTACGCTTAACTATTTTTCACTTTAATAAATAAGAAGTTATTATATTATCATTTATTAAAACACATATTTGGTACACTATGGGCAGTAAGCAATGGGTCACACAAAATCTCTTAGTTTTTGTGAGGGTCGGAATACTGGCTAGACTGAAGTAGGTGGTTGTCTTAGGAGTCCACCCTCAAGCCATTAACCTGAAGTCTGATCCACTTAGCACTCGGATGGTGCCATCAGCTGCCTTCTCATGGTTGTCGGTCACCAGAACAGGTTAATACGCCATTCGATGTGTTTAGAGACTGGGTCCCATATACACTATAGATTTAGAATCAAAGTTTTCGAACTCCTCCTAGGTAAACCAGCATATTCAATATTGCGGTTGTAAGCACTGAACTTTCACAGTCACCTCATAACTTCTGTGAAGAACCACCCTGCCACCTAAAAGTAGTCAACAGTTATTGAAAAATTTACACGATTTCCTATCATACTACCAAAAGGTGTAACGGTTTCCTTGTCTATATGTGTCATACTCTCAGATGAATAATATCAGATGCGTACATTGACTCATAAACATTCAGACAGAGATCGTATAACTCTGAGTTGGTTTGCTAAGAACGTCTTTTCACTGAGTGAAAACTTTCAAATTATCAGAACAGTCATTCATATTACATCCTCATGGTCAAGAATATTCACTGGTATACAAGGTAAATATCGTCACCAACTTACAGCTGTCATTTTGCACTGCGAAACTTTTAGGAGTACGTACCAATGACTTCAAAAAGTCACCAGATTCAGAGCCTTAAGTTCATTATGCCAATTAATTAACCGCTAAGCCACTGGGATGGATTGCAATGATCCATGAATTCAAATTTCTAACAATTCATGATATACAGTAGCACCAGTGTTCAATGTCATCGATGAGCATCTGTCCTCACACTCAGCATGGCACACCCCACTGGTCACGAATTCTTAGTAGAACTGCATGATCGGTTACTTGACGAATCACTGAAATTACTTGATTACTCATAGTGAACACTGGAATACGCCTCAAGGAATAAACCTCGAATATTCACTAGTCAAATTATTTTCCAATATTCCACTGGTGGATAAGTAGCAGAATGATCGTCTACCACGTAGATGGTCCAGGTTCACCTCCCGGCCGACGCACTCCGAAACCTCGCCTAAAAAGCAGTAATTCCGTTAAAGGGTGAAGGTTTGGCGTTAGGACTGGAGCCCCTCCCCCTACTACATAAAAACAGAATAATAATACGAGCGCTATCGCAGCTTCAGAGCTCAAATCGTGGAGCCTCACAATCCATTTGGAATACGAAGGAATTCAAAATAAAAATATTCTTTTCAAAGACAACAGTGTGTTTCCAATCACATAAAATTTATTATTTACATATTCTGAATTAAATTTCACAAAAAATTAACAATTAGTTTTTTATGCATAAAATTTACCTACTGTTAGGCCAATTAAGTAGCATTCTTATAATGTATGTAAAAAAAGCGTAAAATAAAAAAGCAGTCTACAAATTCATCATCATAGTCATTAATGTAATGAATAGGACAAAAACCAATGAAACTTTCAATTTATTTACATGATTACATCCATTCCAATCATTACAATAACAAAATCGTTTAAAATTCATATTTTTATCCTTAAATAATCCCATAGCTGTTTCAGCTAATACATCACCTTTTAATTTTCCAAGTAAATATTGTTGATAATCCCGTGAATTTACACAGTAACCATGACGACGAAGTTGTGGCATATCTAAACGATATTGTGTATTCAATAGCAGATCACTTAAACAACCACGTGTTACAGTGATTTGATCTGTGTATAAATAAATATAAACATATTAAAATAATATAGAAACTTGTAAAAAGCATTCTTATAGCAAAAACGGATTATTTACAGTTTGTGTTTTGTAAAGAATTCGACGAGTTTCACTGCAAATCTCGTCATCAACCGATATTCTCTGGAGAACTGTTAGAGAAAAAGGAGTAATTCACAGATTTTTCGTCCTCTGCACCAGCACACACTCACATACCAAGTAGACTTTGAACCTAAAACATTAGGGTAACTAGACCAACCTGCTGATCATTAAAAGAGTGGATTGGAACTCAGTGACTCATGTGTTTACAAGGTCTATCAATTCACCTTGTGTCCTTACGAGATCTAAAATCTGATTAGAAGCTACTAGAAAAAGGAATCCTGAAGTTTTAATGCGCAGTCATAGCAGGTGGGTTACACCATGTCAGGGTGAAGCACATGCTCACTGGTGGTATTTGGTGGCCCCGACCGATAGCTGCCACTTTGACGTGGTGGTTGGGCTTGCATATCGCAATGACCCAACAAGCTACACTGACTGAAACTATTGTTCCTGCAGATACTACCATTCCAGGAAGGTTATTAGGATAGCGATTAGACTAAAAGCAGCTACGGCATAGTCTAAGAATTTAGTTTTTACACTATGCTGGGGGTCTGAGGGCGAAGTCGTACTGTTGGGGAACAGGGATGTAACAGCTGCGGTAGTGTTTTCCTCAGATGACCAGCATGCTAGCTATGCTGTCTCTCCACTCTGGAGAGAGGGAGTTAGAATAGGTCGACCCCAAAAATTCTACATCCCGACTTACCCTTCGGAGGTCCATAACCGGCAGTAAGTTTACTAATACGAAACCAAACCAAGAAATCAAGCAGTTCTCCCTTTGACTCTGAGATCACGCAACTCTTACCCTCTTTCTGTTTAATGAGGCGAAATTTCAGTCAGCTTCCAGCCGGGAAGTAAAAACCGCCCACACACTTCCGAAATCACATGTAGCTTTCCTGTGCATCATTCTCCTTTACCCACATCAACTTCATCATCTTACTCTTATACTACATTTGGTACTATTCTTCGGGCTAGTGAGTCATCTTCCCTCTGTAACCGTAAACAACAATGACAGCCATAGAAACAACCCCGACGCCCTCTTAAAGCCACGTCACCAAATTCATGTAGTAGTATTCAACGTCAAGACTCTCTGCCAAATTGGACAACACGCATCAATAGCAAGAACTCTGGCATCTCGAGCCATGGATGTATGTTGCATTTCGGAGACACGCATACAAGACCCGAGTGTGATCATTCACCTAACTTCACCCGGCCAACAAGGTGAATCTGCAAAATTCACTTTAAAGTTGTCAGGAGACCCCTCAGCTACTTCTCGAGGACTCATAGATGTAGGGATAGCATTGAGTGTTAGGGCAGAAAAATCACTTCTTGACTGGATCCCAGTAGATAATCATATGTGTGCGGTGCGTCTGAACGGGTCCGATAGAAGAAGGAAGGATGGTGTTACCCGTCGCTGTCTTTACGTAGTCTCCGCTTACGCCCCAACAGACTGCAGTTCGGATGAACTAAAAGATGACTTCTACCTGAAACTGTCTAACTTGGTGCAAAAAGCAAAACGTTCACATGTAGTTGTTTTAGCAGGCGACTTCAATGCCCAAGTAGGGAAGTTGTGTCAGGCTGAGAAGTGTGTAGGTGGTACGTATGGAGTTCCCCGCCGACGAACCGACAACGGTGATTGTCTTCTACAGTTCTGTTCAGATAATCATCTGTTCCTAGTCAGCACTAACTTTAGGCATAAAGAGAAACACTGTGTAACCTAGCGATCTCCATCACCAAATCAACGCTGGACTCAGACAGACCATATCGCCATAGGGTATCGTTGGCGAGGGTCAGTAGAAAACTTTCGCTCCTTCTGGAACACGTGCGTAGACTCTGATCAAGCTCTGGTTCGCGCACATTTATGCTTACGACTAAATGGACGTAAGAAATTGACGTCAGCGAAACAGTTACGTCCCCATCTAGATCGAGACACTGAGTCCTTATTTAAGGAAGAAATAGCGAAACGAGTTTCTGAGGTCGACAGCAGGGCTTTCCCTGAGGTAGCCTGGCACAACATACAGTTAGCTGTAGACACAGCTGTGAAAGCTGTTAATAAGCTAAAACCTAAAGTTAGTAAAAGCCATTGGATCTCTACCGCCTCATACGAACTGATTGACGCAAGAAGACTGATTCCAGCGAGCTCCTATTATGATGAGGAGCGAAAGCTACTCAAACACAAACTAACAAGAAGCCTCCGAAACGACCGTGAACAGTGGTGGGCGACAAAAGCGAAAGAGATGGAAAAGGCATTGGCGATTGGTAACACCAGACAACTAGTTAGACTTATAACGGAAACAGGTGGTAAAAGGCAAACGATAAGTGAAACAATCTCTGAAAAAATTGGAAAGTGGTTACTTCCTCCACTTATTCAGACAGGAAGCACCGTGTGAACTACAAGCGGAACGGATGAAGATGTCAAAGCCAATCAGGAAGGGCAAGATACAACTTCAGCAATCTGAAATCAGTTTGCAAATCTTCTCCACTCAGTAGCACAAAGAACAAGATTCTCATTTCCAAGAAAAATGTTGAGTCATCCAGTCAATTCTTGTACTGCACATCACCAACAGTATTTCCAACAGGTCACTGCAGACTTTCATCAACAGGTGCCGGCTTTGCTCGCTCCATATTTAAGATCAAATAGTCAGCTGGCCAGAGAGAATGAGTAACAAGAAAATCTGCACTTTAACAAACTCAAATTATATTCGTAATCATTAATTAAACCATGAACCTATTGCTCAACAAATATGTAGAAGAAAAAGGAGATGGATTGAGCACACGCCACTGGAGAGACCTTCGGATGACATTGCGCTCAGTGCAGGCCATCGCTCGAGTGGAACCCCGAGGGAAAACGACGAGTTTGGCATGTGTCTTGAAGTGACATGGAGGCGATCGTGCAAGAAGGATATGAGAGATGATGGACAGTCGTGAGGCTAGCTAAAGGGGACCGCAGAAAATAGGACAAAGTGTAGATGTTCTGTTGAAGCTCTACGTTTCACTCGAAACTCAAGTGAATAATGATAATAATCTTCATACCTCACAGTATGTTGAGACCAGAAGCTCGAAAAGTTTTCGAGTCAGCTTTCAACTTATCAATATTCTTCAGTCTAACCTAACAATAAAGTGGCGTTGAAACACACACACAAGGAGAATTTAAGAAGATAATTTCCACTGTATAATTCAATACCAAATGAGAACGTATTAAATGACGACTGATTCACTAGTCTTTGATTGAACTAATGTGACGTGGGCTATTGACATTAGTAGTATCTAGATGCAGATAGATAAGGAGCAGCCAGAATTGAAAACAACATTTTTAGTCAGTGGATGCAGAGGTAGAAGTGTTTATTCTTCAAGTATGGATTTAGTTTACGTTGTGGTCAGGAAATAATCTCACTGAATAACTTTTTGTCTCCATGTTTAGCTTTCGTTTAATCGACAACCAATCAGAACAGTTTGTGGCCGATGGCCTAGCTAACCTTTAATGTGTTTAGAAATGTAGAAATGTGGTGTGCTTCTCCTTAGTAAAAAGTTCCGTTACCAGATCTCTTGGCTTCCCGCGTCATACTAACATCAAGATATTAAAATATGATCCGTTTTATTTTCTAACTTCAAATAACATTCACCAATAAAGCATAATTCCCTCAATTTTGAGGAAATTGATTTCCCCTTGGACACTTGAACTTTTAATGGATAACTTTTCATGGATAATTGTTGAATTTAGAAGAAAAATTGAAATGAATCAGGATTCTGATCACATATCATTTGCATAAGAGTCCTTGTAGATAAATGCCAGGCTAATGGAGAGACTAGCTCAAGTAGCCCTCTTCAAGGACATAGTATGTGTCATCCACAGTATTTGAATTTATTTAATTATCTGACTTTTAGATTACAGGATTTGTGGGGAAGTGGACTCATTCAACTTCAACTACTAAATTTCATCACTTACCAACATCAGTTTGAGAGTTCACTGAAAACCAGTGGGGTACTGGACAGCTGCTTCGACTTACTTTGGCAGTTTTGATTTGACACTAGTAACTAGTGTGATGCGTCTAGTCCTCTCTTTGGTGCAGACTGAATTCTATCAGTCAGGTTGTAATGTGGCCACCATTCTAGGTAGCTCGCCATCACGGTATACATTGTTTATGATGATATTAGATGGTTGGAGGCAATCGGCAGGAAGCCTTGGACCTAGGTTTCGTGCTAGTTGGCACTCATCAGCAAGGCGTATCTGCAACCTTGAAGGAACTCATGTCCCTTCTGAGATTCGAACCCGCGTCACCCAGTGCTGCAGTCGGAGACGTTACCACTGAGCTATTCGGGCTCGCGATTGACCTCCTGTAGGACTGTAGTGGAGGCCACATTACAACCTGACTGATAGAATTCAGTCTGCACCAAAGAGAGGACTAGACGCATCACACTAGTTACTAGTGTCAAATCAAAAATATCCACTACAGTCCTACAGGAGGTCAATCGCGAGCCCGAATAGCTCAGTGGTAACGTCTCCGACTGCAGCACTGGGTGACGCGGGTTCGAATCTCAGAAGGGACATGAGTTTTTATTTATTTTATTTTATTTTGGTTACAGCTTGATGCCACACCGTATTTTCAGTACAAGTATGGCATTTTCAGCATGGATATCGGTAGCCCAAATTTCACAGGCCGACCATAGATATCGGGTGTGCGCGGTAGGGATCGACCTCGGACCATGTGCATGGTCGCGGATCTAACCACTGTGCCACCTTCAAGGTTGCAGATACGCCTTGCTGATGAGTGCCAACTAGCACGAAACCTAGGTCCAAGGCTTCCTGCCGATTGCCTCCAACCATCTAATATTACTTTGGCAGTCCTTTGCAGTGCGCATCCACGACCCCACTAGGAATCGCATCCAATACCTTCAGATTAGGAGACCAAGCTTGTTGACGATTCAGCCACTTAGGCTGGAATTCTAGCTTTGTCAACTAACGCCTTGGATGAGAATCCACTTTACCTTCTCACATGATGGATCCCAATGATCGCAACCTCTCAATATGGCTGACAGAGTTAGAATCCACGGGTCACTAAACTCTGTTCCAAGTATCTGAATGGTCAACGAACTTGATGTCGTAACATGAACATCCTGAACATTCGATCTCCAGCTGGGTAACAGGTGTGCACAGCTGGAGAGTACCAAAATAATTCGAAATAGCTATCCATTACTTCATGGCTTTCAATGATCTCTGTAACTGATATTCGTTCGTAATGTCATCCGTCTGTTGAAATTAACTTATCTAACTAATATTTAAAATAACATTTTTGTTAACTATGTGTTAAAAAACAATCCTACCTTCAACCTTCTGAACTAATTTAACACAGTAATTTTCAATCAATCTTCGACCAGTACATTTTTTCCAATGCATTAATCGAACATCTATTGGATCACCACAGCCTGATTGGGCACTTGTACAGGAATAACAGTATAATTCAGCTGAAATGACTTCTAAAAAGAAGTCAAAGTTAAAAAAAAAGGGAGACAATTATTGATGCAGTAAGTAAAATGATAATTAAATTGCAAATTTCTATGGTAACATTAGCAATAATAAAAGCAAGGTCATTTGGGTGAACTCTTCTTTAGATCTACTCTAGTACTTCTTGCCAATGCGGGGCAGCAAGTTTAAGATATTGGAACTTTAAGGTGACCCAACCAGTTGAATCCAAATTAATGCCTTGAGCATAAGTTAATGACACAGTCACAAATCTGCTTAGTGTCTAACAGCATGCTAAGGAAACAGTTTCAGTCATCTAATAACTGCCTTCACGGTTGTAGTGAGTTCGTGACCACTAAGTTGGACAACAATCCTTGGTTGTGTGGTTTCTTTGTTTAAAAATTACTAAGTATCGAGAAATATTAAACTACTTTGTGAAATTTTAGATGAATTACAAATTATTCATATAGTTTATAATATATGAACCTTATCTTTGATTGCGTGCTGTTTCCAGAATGTCTCTTCAGTTAGAGTGTCGTCTTCAGTTTAAGTACAGAAAGCATTCTTAATTAGTTGACAGATGTCTGGCAGAAGTTAAACTTTGGGCACTGAAAATGCGCTAACGGACCAGGGACCCTGCAAAGTGTAGTAGCGCCGAAAGGTAAATTTGGTCTCCTAACTCTAACCCTAGGCTTAATCTTTCCCTAACCTAACCCATATCTATTTTAAGCTATCCCCAAATTAGCCTTAATCTACCTCTAGCTAGACCTAATATCTCCCTTATTAGGTTAACATAGCCCGAAACCAGTCTTAGTTTAAACCTTAACTTAATCTTTCCTAAATATAACCTAAAGCTTACCAGATATTACGTTTAATATCGTAGCACTTCATTACCTGGTTTCAATGACTTGCTGACTGAGCTTCCCATAGTCACTGGTGCGTTCGCTCCTCTTTGTTGCCTAAAGTTTAACTTTTCCTGTGTTCGCTTGTTGAGCCTTAGGAATTCATATATGAACCAGTCTGGTTTTTTGTGCAAACTACAACGTGAATAGTTTTGATTTCACCGTGCTTTCGTTTTAGATAGTCGCCTTGAGATATGCAGTGTTTTATTTTACAGACGTTTCCTGTTCTCACTTGCTTGAAGGTGAAGATTTTATATAAGATGTAGTTTTATTAAGACATTAGTTAGAACTGATTGATCCGTAAACACAACTGAGCAGTTTTTAAGTAGTTGTGCTCTCTGAGGAGGTTGATTTAATTGCGAAGCTTTCGTTTTTATTCTAGACAACATCTTCAGCACGAGTTTGAGTAAAAGAAATCCTGACCTGAAGACGTTGTCTAAAGGGACAACGAAAGCTTCGCAATTAAATCAACCAGCTCAGAGAACACAACTAAATCAAAATCATCCACCAGAGCTACGAATTATCTCCATTATAACTGACCGGCTTCTAATTTGGGTAATATGATATTATGAATTTTATTTCAGACTTTAAAGTAGCTTAGTCCTATGATTTCAAGTTTTTCCAATCGAATCTGTTGCCATATTCAAGAAAATTTACAAAGATAACGAATTCTGTGTTATGACATCTCACCTCAATTGACTGTTGCTAGAAGCATTACGGAGTAGGATGGAAGAATTTTCTAATACAATGACTTCTACAAACTTTTCACCTAATTTTTTAAATTACATTTTCCTCAACGTTTTTTTTTATGACTGGATATTTTTAACTCTAAAGGTTTATCTTTGGTGGGTTTTTGTATGTTTATCAAATGCTCTTTTTGCAAACTGTTAAAGTAGTCTGTCCACTATTTCTTAAGTAGTTTAATATGCAGAATCAACGGCCATTTTGTACACTTCACCCGAACGTTCAATTGTTGACAATAAGGATTGACATTTCGAGATAAAGTATTTGAGATAGTTGTTAATATTCTGGTCGACAGGCACATGGACTCATGTGAAAAATGGGCCAAATCCATTTTATCTAACTCACACCACCCTCTTCATTCACAACTCTCCCCTTGTATCTCATCAGGCAGGACCAGAAAAACTATATGCTGGCACCAGCAAATACAAAATCTCAACCATACCCTACTTAGCTCGTGTTCTGTGCGACAAAGAAAGCATTAGACGTGATACCTATAACTTATTAAATAGTCAGTAGAACAACTGGATCTCGTCTTTCCAACTCATATCATTTATAGGTTCAACGTTTTCTTTCTTTCCTTTCCTTTTTTTGTTATGTGCTGTTTTGTTTCTCTCTTCCCTACAAACTCTATTTAAAACATTCTTCTTCGTTCTTTCACACTCTGTATATCTCGACCTTTTTGTTACCGCTCACGCCAGTAAATATGCTAGTATCTACTTTTCTAACACCTTCAAACATTCTGTTCACTTCTGGCTTTGCTACCGATGTGCTAATATGTTGTTGTCAACATTAACTGAGACTACCCATACTCGATGTAGAATTTTATTTATTGTTAATGTACAAACTGGATGCAATACTGTAGTGAAAATTGTTGAGAATTCCATTCTGTATCACAAGTACTGTTTTGGAATAAAGCAAATTATTATTTCTTGAGACGTTTTTAGATGATAGCTTTAGCCTAAACATTTCTGCACTTCCATTTGGTGAAAGCAAGCGTTTTAGTGCTTATAAACGATGTCATTAAGCAACAGCATTGACTTACCATGTGGAAAATTAACAAAACGTTATTTTATGATTGTTTATTTTACCATAATTTAAGAATCTTTATGGAATCAGCATGACCATTTTTCCTAGTGTTTGATTTATAAAGAGATTTATGAAGATAATCTAAGTTTTGTATGATAACTACTATACAGATTACGAGCTGGTTAACTAGGCTGAATTCAGTATTGGAATTGGGATCCTACTGATGTATTTATTCTGGTTATTTCAAATGTCTCTGGTAACGATAAACGTTTAATTGAATAAAGACATAGAAGACTTTGCTGAGACTCTATCATGAACCAAAATATTTCAAACAACCTCGTAAAAATGGCTTAGGCATCATACTGCAAGTGATTTAAATAGTTGAATAGAAAAAGTATGAAGGTTAAGAAGAGCTGCTTATATAAGTGTGGTGAAGATGAATATACTCAGTTTGCTTTTTTCTAATATTTTTGGTTATTTCTTCCCCAGTCACCTAATACTCTGTATTATAAAGATAAATCAGAGCACAAGGAACAACATCTTACGAGTTTTAGTAATATCTTTTAATAAGAACATTTCCACCAGCATTTGCCTTGTTTGCAGAAGAAATCCAGAAAGTAAGTAAATCTTAATTATTAGGAGAAGCATACACCTGGTCTTGTGATTTTTACGCAATAAGGCATATAATTTTTATGCACAAATCTTAAAAACTGTATTGAAATGCTCTTTACTGAAACCAGTAATTCATCACACCGCAAGATTCCTTTATTTATTATCTATCCTACTGTGATGTAGTAATCTTACATGGTTAGGCTTCCGATATAATCCAACTACCCACATATTAAGTCTGCTGTCTACAGACTGCGTGATGTTTTCATTTTTGCTCCTGAACTTTCTAACTTGCTTCCGAAACATGTCTAACCATGAACAAATATGAACTGAACTGGCATTGTCGCCAATTAGCTCAATGGATTGCTTAAAGACGGCTATCCTCCGATGATGTGCTCAATGTGTATAGGAGTACACTTTGTTCATAAACGGCTTCTGCACCTTTGTTGACCCAGTTTAAGCCCAAAAGAAGCCCTACAAGAAAGCTACAGGTGTGGATAAAACCTTTGGGGTAAGAGACAACTGTGGAATATTTTCATTACCAGATTTACAAGACGATTCCATCTTGAGCTGCACAAAGATATAACTCCTCACATAACTGTGATATTCAGGGCCAGGAAGGCCTACGTTAAGGAGATCGAGGAGCATTTCTTATGCTCTCCTGAAAAATTCCTTCCTATTCAAGAGGAAAAATCATGGATATTCAAACGTTGCCGTTTTAATGGTATATCCAAGTTTTCTATATACAAATGATATACACTTTATTACAATGCTTCAGTGAATGTATACTCACATAATCTTTTCCAGCTGACACCGTTTTAAGGGGCCAATACTAACCAACAGGCAGAGAACCGTGAGAATACTTTTGTTACGACATCATACAAGATCAAATGTAGGACAGCTATGACTCAAGTGGAAGGATGTGGATGCTTAGCTACAGAATAGTACATATTTTGAGATGGTCAAAATCACTTTACTGTCCTAATCACATTTTAAAGTTTGAGTGACTGTCACGAATATAAGTGCACTGGTTAAAGTTATACTTATTCAAAGCAGCAAACAATTAAATGATAACTATCACCTAGGGCATTTTAGTAAAACTGAAAAGTTCTGAGGACTATAGAACGATTAAAACATCAGTTAGAAACCTGTTCATGCAGAGAAGATACTCGGTATGATTAAGTGTAGCTCTGTTCTCTCGAAGACAGAATAAAAATAATGTAGCACTACATAAGTTAAATTTCCTTATGTTTCCAATCAATATAAGTAAGCTAACAAGAATAACTAGGCATAATATTTGAGGAACAAGCAATAATCTGCAAGGTTTTATGAACACATGTGAAGTTTAAACTTCAACGCAAAATCTCCTAACTGATGATCTTACATTCTCAAGCATGTTGCTTGATACCGCCATACATGCATACGGCAGATAGACTTTTATCCAAGTCACAGACAAAAATATCAGATCACTGATAAAATCATACTCCAATTTGTGGAACCTTGGGTGATCTTCGGAACAGTTGAGATTTTTGTGAAGATAGTTTGGTCGTAAGGCAGAATGAAGGACGCAAAACTGTCACAAAATGTTGTAATATATATTGATGCTGAATTTCCGTTCAATTAATCGGTAGGAAACATGGCAGATTATAACACAAACCAAAATCTTTGGAGGTTACAACTAAATACCAAAAATAGATTTTATCAATACCGAGAGCACTCGTTAAATCTTCTAATAATCATTATTGGCACCTTCATGCCATCAAAAACCAAAACAATAAAACCGGAAATAAGTGTTTTCTACGAAAACGATGTGTATCCGCATTGAAAAAAATTACACCCATTATTTAATTTCACCAAAAAAATTCAATTTCTAATTGCTTACCAGCTAAAAAGTGCAGTAAACCGACACCAAATATTGCATTCATTAAAGTGTAAACTGATGTTTACACTTTTATAAGTTTGCCAGAAAAATGATGCAGACAAACAAGTCCAATGTATGTAAAGATTTCAGATTTACTGGTTGGGGATAGTAGGCTTGGAGCCCAAGTCAATCCTTTTCTAGTGAATTTCTGTGGTTATACAGACCCTTCTTGAATAAATCAGTTGAGGTTGTAGATACCACTTCTTCTAGAAGTCGCCTCCAAGAGTTTATGACTAGGTGTGAGAACCAGTACTCAACAGGAATACTATTTCTTCTTGGCTTTTGAACTCTCCTGCTCCGACCTGTTGGGAAGGAAGAGAGAGAATAGATCGGGTCCGCAGTCATTATTCAAAATTTTAAACACTGTGCCCACGGTATGACAGGGAGAAGATATTTAAACTGTCTAGTCTTTCGTCTTATGATAAGTTAGTCATTCCGATAACCAAACTTGTTGCCTTCCTTTAAACCGTTTCTAGAATATGCGAGTCCTCTTTAAGACAAGGAGTGGCTGTCTGGATACAGTTTTCTAGTCTTGACCTTACCAAAGATGTATATAAGGAGGTGAACATACCTCTGGTGATTCCAGTAAAGGCTCTGCGAATTGCCCATAAGGCAAATGCCTTCATTTAATCTCCAAACTTACCAATATCAGTAAGATTAGAGGCCACAGTCGTTAAGGGAGAAATTTAGAACTTTTTAGGCTGGTATGTTTGCACTACGGGCTCAGAGTATGTCCATGTTAATAGCACAAGAAAGGAGTGCGAAAATGGAGCCCAAGTCTATTCGGGCGTTTGCCCGTCAAAACAAAATTAAAAGCGCCTCTGGGGAACCAGTTACTCAGACTGCTTAGACGACTCTGAGCCCTATTCCTATGGGCTTCAACCAGAAATAGCGCGATTGTTGTGTGACTATCCATCCTGCTAAATCTGAACTTTATCTACACTGCCTGGCCAGGTCGCTCTTGACAATGCCTCGACTAGCAGAGGAAGAATATGACACTTATGACTGATCAAGGGTTATTTGGAAGAGTAAGAGGATGGTAACAAGTGCACCGGGTTGCACTTTGCTTTGCTCAAACGTTGGTGTTGTTGTGTTTTTCATCAAAGCAACCAAACTTTAAGCAAGCAGCTAATACAAACAAACAGTAAGTTGTAGCTTTAATAAAGGCCTAGGTAGTCAGGATAAAATGGAGTATAATAGTGCGTAAATAAAAAGATTATCGTGAGGTGGGTAAGTGATACTTGAGTGAGAAGCGAATTCAATGATCTGGAAGATTAAAACCCGTAGGACAACCTGACCTGTAAGATTTCTCACGAATTCCAGTGGGGCCTATAGGGTGGCATCTTGACAAGAAGTTGAGCAGGCTTGTAGATGGTAGGAGCGAATGTGTATATTATTATTTAGATATGTACAACCCGTATTTTTCTGTTTTGTTGAGTATCCGGACTAATGTTTGATTCTCGAGCTGTCGCATGTGCACCATAGCTTTTCATTGGTGATTGATCCAGTCGCACATAATCCCCCGAACTCCATCGGCAGCAGTTTATCGTTGGAAAGTTAATAGGAGCTATATTGTGATATTTTGACCTGTTCAGCCGTAACAGTTGTTGGTTAAGGACGAATTAGAATACTTGGATCTGCCACACTTAGTTTCACTTTTTCTTTTTCAGATCACAGAATATCTTTGCAAGTTCAAATTTTTGGGAGATACACTGAAATTTATCAGTACGTATAACGATTGTTTATTTCTTTATTTTTCGCGTGGGCAGTGCGGCATCCTCTAGGGTTTGGTGAAATTGTTTACTTCCTTAACTAGTGTCTTTCGCTTTTGCGTTACTGGAGTCACCAGAGGAAGGAGAATATACACCAGCTCATAGGATAGAGCTAGGTAAAATCCTACTTCACTGATGTGGTGTCGGGTGGCCCACGTCAGTTCCTCGAATAGTTGCTTTCTCAGCCTAACCAATTTTCGCCTTGTCTCCACTCATTCGCCGCCTCCAAGTGGCATGGTAATCTCCTAAGTTGGTGTGAGTGCATCAGCCATTATTCTTAATGGAACCCAAAGTTAGTCCACTTGGCAAACCTCAGATATAAGCATTACGATAACGCCAGCGTAGTGAACGAGAGATCGATAAAGCACAACATCAGAATGTTTATGATGAAAAGAACCAATTCGTATGGCTGGAAGTAAGTATTACCGAATTCATGACTCACACCGTTTTCCCAGGTGTAGGAAGTCTAATCTGGCTAAACCGTAGAGCAGATGCATATAAGTAAGTCCCAGAACGCTGTAGGCCAAAGCTACTGGGACAGGATCCAGAAAGCCCTGTTGACTGGTTTTCTTATGAACGTGATCTTGGCCGAAAAACTAGCTTGAAGATATAAACTATTAGGTAGCAGTAGAGGGAGCTCAACTACGAGAAAATCGATAGCAGTCTGTTATATTAATTTCAATAAGAAATTTTTGCAGTAAAATAAGATGACGAATGACATTACTCTATCTCTTCGTGATATGCCAGATGAACACCTATTAACTGTTCCATGTAGATGTAGTACGTATATTCTGCATATTCAGGTTAAAGATATTCGAAGTAATGATTCGCCAGCTGACAACATAGCCCCCAAGTTTGCCTAATGGAAAAGTCTAGACATAACTCCAAAAGGTAGACCAATCGAACCGAAATTCTCATGGAAATCATTTCTAGGGGGAAGCTAATATAGGGCCTCTACAACATGGTGTTATATGGCGAATCAAATGTTGCAATAGAAGGAGTATCTCCGGAGGATGGAACGAGTAAGTAGGATCTATATCTTCTTTGTGATTTGTAAGGTGTTCTTTATATGCTGAATGACGAATGCCTATCCGTTTGTTTGCTCTTAGCTGTGCTTTCAGAAATTAAGGTTCATAAACACCATTGGTGTTCCACACCTTTAGAGGTCGTCTGTTGATAGTTTGGGTAATCGCCTTTATAGAAAACTCGATTTCCAAAATTCCTCTAAGTATCTGTGTTTGTTTATCCCCTTCCTGAATGAGAAGACTGAGGTCTTAAACATCGCTTTTCTAGGGGTGAGTCCCAAGAATTGGCAACTCAGAGCGGGAATCGGTACTTCCCAGCGAGTGTTCCTCCTGAACTTCCGAACTCCCATACTTTATCCTACTAGAGGTTCATATCCGGTTAAAGAGAAAAGAGAATATGCAGTTGTTTCTTGAACTTCTGAATATCACAACAAAATCCTTCTACCACTGATGTGATAAAGAAAGGGATTCAGCCTGTTAGGTCGCTCTCCTTATGATAAATCGGTCAAACTAGGAATCATATGTGTGACTGTTCTTGGAACTCCTGTCAGTGTGTGAGTCCTCTTTAGGATTAATTGGATAGAGTTTTCTAGTTAATACCTCGCCAGTAGTGTATGTGCAATGGGGAACATATTATTGTTTCCTTTAGTTCCTACAGGAACATAGAGCTTCAGCCACGCGTCTCCATTACCTTTGGTTCTCCATCATTGTTTTCACCTGACTCCGCGTCTGCCCGCATTCTTTCATCTCCTCTTCACATGACCTCCCAAATGTGACCCCAGCACTGAAGACCAACTAACTCGCTGCTTCCTGTTCGGATTCCACTTGAGTTATGGCCTGGCGGGTGATGTTGTTTGATGGTTTTCTCAGAGTATGGCCAATCCACCTAACCTGATTTCTTCCTGCAGATTTGTTGCACGGTTGGTTCCTGCTAGGTTGGTTCACTCGCTCCCAGAGGTCCCTGTTGCTGATCTTTTCTGGCCGGACATCTGATCCTGAGTAGGACTGAGCGAAGACAGCTGTTAATGAAGGTTTGTATTTTATTCAAAGTGCCCTTCGTGCCGCGGCGCCAAGTCTCTGATCTGCATATTAGCACTGATTTCACAGTAAAGTTGAAAATCCGGATAATAACAATAATATATTCTCATTTTTGTACATGAGAGGCACCAGTTTACAGGCATCATCAATTCGATAAATTACACATACGATTAGTAAGTATAGTTAGTAATGATAATGTAATACGGTACATATTTGTTCCTACAAATGTAGGACGCACAAGTTGTACAGGCATGGATAAGTGTTATTTAAGTTACGTATTTAAATTACATGATTTACGGTTAAATAACATGGTTGCTGTCATTTTATCTTTAGTTTGTGGGAAAAATCTGATAACTAGTGATTCAATGGACCACATCCAGAAGTACAGAGATATTGACTTCGCATTAACAAAAAAACCCAAGTATGCGTTGGATGGATTGCAGATACTTTGGAAAATAAATAAAGCTTGAAGTCAATTCCCTCTACATTTTCATGCTGAGTGCTGTTGGCCTTCACACAGACTTGGTGAGAGTAATGAAAGCTGGCCTTGCTTTACCGATACTTGCTGCTTTGATATCCTCATCAGTTCCGTCCGCCTGTAGTTGAAACGGTGTTCCCCAGGGAGGGAGTTAGAGGAGGTTGCTTCTCTCAGATTCCTCACATTTATGCTGGCTGATTGTTGTCTATTGTTGTTGCAGCAGCTGTTGCCCAGGAATCTTCATCAGCGCTGTTTTCTCTATGTTCACCTGAAGGAAGTACTATCTTTGATGCTTCCTCTACCAACTTGTTGCTTTTCGCTTGCATATCTTCCAGTTTGTGGGAAATCAGACATATATCATTGGGGAAGTCCACATCATCCAAGTATTTGTGTGAGTCCATTTTATGCCTGTTTCCTCACTGCCAGCTGTATGTCGCATTATCCAATCTACTGCAATCGGGAAAATCACTGCAGATAGTAGGCAGCCAGCCTTGTCTTACTCCCCTCTTCACTACGAAGGATTTCGTGATCTTCCCGTTGATGATCACTTGACATGCAGCATTATCGTACAACTGCTGAATGAGTTATATAATTGTCGGTGGCACACCGAAGTAGCGAAGCAGTTTACAAATCACTCCTCGATCGACGCCGTCGAAGGCCTCTTCAAGTCGCTGAAGTTGAGTGAGGTGAA